CGCTGTCAACTGTGGCATACTAAATCAACACATTACCTGCAAAGATGCTCCCGTCATGCTGAACACTCCTGAAGGAAGTCTCGCACCCAGTCAGAATTTCCCTATTATAGATTCATATTGTGTTCATCCAGCGCTGCCCTTGCCCTCACCAAACAGTCATACTTTTCCTCTCTCATTAGTTCATAATCCCGCAATACCAGGCATCTCCTTGACACCTTTAACTCTCTTCTTCGAACCCTGCTCTGGCCACCCCCAAAGTAACCTTACTGCCGATAACTTTGCATGCTACTTTACTGACAAGACTGAACAGCTAAGGAAAGAATTCTCCCCACCTTGCCGTTCTCTTTCTCAACCACACGTAGATTATGCCTTTCCTACCCTTCAGACTTTCTCCCTGGCTACTGAACAAGAGTCGGATGTGCTTCTCCTTTCCTCTCGCCCCACCACTTGCCCACTCGATCCTGTCCCACCTCACCTCAGATCTCTCTCCTCTTGTCTTGTGCCTTCCTTAACACACATCTTCAACTGCTCTCTCTCTTCTGGCATTGTCCCTGCTGACCTTAAACATGCCACTGTAGTACCTATCCTGAAAAAAACATCTCTTGACCCATCCTCCCCCTCTAACTATCGTCCCATATCCCTGCTCCCTTTTTCCTCAAAGCTTCTGGAGAGACTTGTCTTTACTCGTATGTCTCACTTCCTCAATTCCAACTCTCTCCTTGACCCTCTTCAATCTGGCTTCTGCCCTCTCCATTCTACTGAGACTGCTCTTATCAAAGTTACTAACGACCTAATCGCAGCTAAATCCAAAGGCCACCACTCCATACTAATTCTTCTTGACCTCTCTGCTGCCTTTGACACAGCTGATCATGCTCTCCTTCTTTAAACTCTTCAATCACTCTGTCTCTGTGACTCTGTCCTCTTGTGGTTTTCCTCTTATCTCTCCCAACACTCATTCAGTGTCTGCTTTTCTAATGATACCTTCTCCCCTCATCCTGTCTCGGTTGGAGTCCCCCAAGGCTCTGTCCTTCACCCTCTTCTATTTTCTCTTTATACTGCCTCTCTTGGCAAACTTATTACCTCTTTTAGGTTCCACTACCACCTGTACGCTGATGACACCCAGATATATCTCTCCTCCCCGGACCTCTCCCCTGCCGTCCTGCAACGTGTCACTGCTTGCCTTTCTTCCATCTCTAACTGGATGTCCTCCGGCTTTCTAAAACTCAATCTCTCTGAAACTGAGCTACTTGTCTTTCCTCACTCTACCTTACATACCTGTCTCTTGCTCTCTCCTAAAGGGCTGCAACTCTCTCCTCCAGCCAGTGGTGGATCCAGAGCCTGATCTCGGGAGGGGCACTTGTAGATTATTTAAATAAATAATCCAGGCACAATAAACACTACAGCTCAGTTTAGTAGTTATGGTGTCAGTAGTGCCAGGATTCCACCCCAGAGTAAGTAGTCATACCGTTTAAGAACAGTTTGACAACTTACCTGGGGTCTGCTGGGATATAGGGTATAGGAGCAGTGGTGTGTGTTAAGGGTGAAGTGTGTGAGTGTGGCAGTGTATGTCAGGGTTGTAGTGTGTGTGTTAGGGGGCAGTGTATGTATGGGGGCACTGTATGTGTTTTTGGGACAGTGTGTGTATGGGGACAGTGTGTGTATGGGGACAGTGTTTGTGGGGCAGTGTGTGTGTATGGGGGGCAGTGTGTGTATGGGGACAGTGTTTGTGGGGCAGTGTGTGTTTGTGGGGCAGTGTGTGTATGGGGACAGT